ATCAGACACCTGAATGAATCTACCTTGATAATGATGTTAGTGTGTGACGTGAAAACGTATTCGAAAATAAAGGAATTTACACCGTTCTTTTTAACTGCTGCATGAACCATGGATTAGAAAGCAGAGACCATTGAAATTATGATTAGTTTTACTATACTCAAAGATTTAATCTGGAGATATCAGTTTTCTTCTAACAGCAATTCAATCTTTGAGCCAGCACTTACAGCCACTATACTAAAATATTTTATGACCAGCAGAAATTCTAGAAATGGTCTAGGAATGAGGAAAGGTCAGAGAACATTTAGACAGTCGCAAAAGTGCTGTTTGTCAGCGCTTTCAGTGCAAAATATATCGGAGGTTAAAAGTCTCATCTTTTTTTGTTGCTTCCAGACTTTGAACTGTGCCATATCGTATTATCTATTGACTCTGAATCAGTATAAATCTCGGTAGATGTTTAGCACAAATTCTGCTATCAGTTTATATTGATTGCTGAGGCAGTCTAAGACGATAACAGTGAAAAATTCAATAATTCAACTAGTACCTATTCTGAATATTTTCTGGTTTTTGTCAGTACAAGTAATCGTTCTATATTTGTTCAAATCGTAGTTCACAGCAACAGTGAAATAAATCATGAACACCCCTTGAACAGCGTGCTGCACCAGCATAATCATTGAAATGCACTATAAACTGTAATATACCACACACCACATGCAGCCTAGCTGTACCACTATTTCATGTGTCGTAGGTCAGCGTATGACATACTATCAGAGTAATTCTTGCTGATTTAATTGGGAATCAGCGCTAACCGTGAGCATTACGAAAAAGGATCTGCAAATCGTGGAGGCACACAGAAGGCCGGCATCTCAGCAATTCCCGATTCTTTTCTTTCCTTTTCCTTTTTTAGGTTGTAGCTAGGATAAGAAAACTTTTAAAAATTAAATTTACGTTTACATCTTGTGATGATTATTAGCTGGCCAGAGAACAAGTCAAAACAAAAAGCAGCTATAAAGCGTACGCATCATACAACAAGACCGCATGTTTCACGCCCTGTGACATGACAACACCAAAGCACTACGCAGCCCTTAAGTTGACGACCTGCTACTCGTTTTTGCATTGAAACACAGTTTAGTGAATTTCCTCCTCCAGAAAATTTACGCCCGGGGTTTGAACCTTGTACATCTAATGCCAGGCGATCTACTAACCCATTGCATCTCTGCTTTTTGGATAGTAATTTGCATTTTCGTTTTTGTTTTTAAATTTTTCACCGTACATTATCAGATGCTCGCAGAACTGTGCAAAGTAAAGGCATTGTAGCTGTGAATACTGCACCTTCTAGACGACAAGTTCCCGGCAGAATTACCTCTTCGTCTTCGCCCTGTTGCGTTTTTGATCAAGCAACGATACCAGCATGACAGAAACTTATTCTGACCACTTCAAAAGCCGATAAAGTAGTTTGTCGAAGACAAAATGCCCCAAGGAGTTAGCATTTCATTACTGAATTTCAAGTGACGGTGAGTGAAATAATGACTTTTCCCAAAAATTAATGTTTTTCTCAAAATAAGAGGTCTTATTGAATTCAGGTTATGTGAAATATCAGCGCAAGCTAACTTACGAGCTGTACGCATCGACGTTATGTTTATGCAAATGAAATATCTATCCAAACATGCTATGCGATACTGTTACGAATTGCAGGGAGTCATGTTGTTCTTTCCATAATGACTCAGTCATAGCATTAATCCTCCAAGATATGATGTTCCAGCCTCTTGCTTCTTAAATCAGCGAAACCTACCATAACAAAGCCAAGTCTAATTTGAAGTGGTCGTGCATATGACATGCAACCGAGCAGAAGATGCCTACATTTCTGGTCCGTTCAAAGTTACTGGTATAAAAGTTCGATTGTCAAAGACCCGCCTGGCTATGAGTAGTAAGAGTAGTTTCCAGTGGAAGTTAGTATCGGGAATACTTACTGACAATAAGATTAGTGTTCACAAATATATTATATGATATATTCTGTGGATTTCAAGATAGTTTTAACAATCACTCTGTGCCGGAATAATCTAATCACTCTATACCAGAGGAAATCCGAGCAAGGTACTGTCTGGCGGTGTCCGAAATATACATATAACCGAATATGAGTATCATTGGAATCTGACAGAATTTGGGAAAGTAACACCATGAGGGATTCAAGCCGTTTTTTTCTATAGAAAATATGATATGTTTTGAATTAAATTAAATTACCGTATCCTAAAGGGCTATCTCCAGTCGTCGAAATGCATCCATCGGTACATTAGAAGATCTAAAATCCTATGGAGTCGGTCAACTGAAATGACTCCATGGTTATGAAGAAATTTGTGTTTATGCCATAACGCCGGCTAAAATGACGATATCACTTATATGTATCGTTAGGTTTAACATAAGATCTGAATTATTCTATTTGCTGGCATTATGTGCATATAACGATAAGAGAGCATAATGATCCAATGTTTATGTCTCTGATGGGACAAGTGACTAACCGCCATGTTTACAGCAACTTCGTTCACACCCTATACAGATTATCATACTGAATAATCAGGTATCTCAATGAACGTGGCTGCATTCCTCGCTCATTTTGGTATGACCACTTCACAACGCCATGCCGTCCCTGAAGATGGAAACCGATATCTTACCATTGTGCTACCCCCTCCAAACTAGTTAAAATAAATTAATACTTCGACGCTGCGGAAATGTCAAATGAGTTCATACGTCCATTGCAAACATCGTATCGTTTCATTTGAACATTTTAAATTCGTAAACTCATCGGTACCGTGAAGTATGTCTGTACGCCGATATTTCTTATGATTCGATGTTTAGCAGTGCAAAAGACAGCAAACAAATTCTTAGTTTAAAAGAAATCTAGCGTTTCGACCATACGGACAACATTCAATATTAGGAAATCGAAAAATAATTATACTTCTGTGTTGGGTAAGTTTTTATTTGACATGATTAGCTGTTATGTGAAATGACTCATTAGTTAATAGCCGTTTTTTTCAGCAGAACATCTTGCCCACCAGATCAGCCTGATCAACTGAGCTAATGCATGTATAAGCAATTTCTATTCCATAATGATGATGGAGATTCCGTTTGGTCGAAACGCGAGAGGTTTCTGTTAAATATAGGTGGTAAATAAAATTAATACATTTTTTGAACTTGCCTGTATTACTCATATGTATGTATGACGCGTCCTCTGAAGATATTTCAAGCGGGACGAAGCACTGATTTGCACTTAAATTTTACAAATAAATTCATGATTTATTGACCTAAATGTATTTTTCTCATGTCCTCCGGATTTACGTGGCGTAGGCATACCAGAACCATGGCTCCATGGTATTTTGACATCAGCAAGGCAAATAGACCGAACAGCTCCACTTTATTGGGTAAGATAAAAACACGTTCCTGTTTAAATGGTCCCTTAGGCTACTAGAAGCAAGGGGACGGCACGCCTATGCCGCGTAAAACCGGATGATTGACAGGAAAATGTTATTCTTACCGGCTGTTTTCACATCTAGCACTTTGCTAACAAACCCATAAGGTTTATTTCTGTTAAAAGCATTTTTATGCGCAATTAATGGCTAGAATAAATTAAAATAGATTGACGAGCCATTTTCCACTCCGGAGCAAGATTCGCGGTGATCTTGCAATCTCGTGTAGGAAAGGCATAGCATGGCGTAATTGGCCCCTGTTGAATGACGAGCTCAATTAAAAGAGTTAATGGCTTGATTTCTAAAGCACGATAGATGTCAAATAGCATAGTGGTAAATATACTAATATAGAGCACAGGAAAAAACTAAAAGTTAGCTGCTGCAGCAGTAACGGTGCAGTATCGATAGTGTTTCAGTTAATCGTATTTTCTCTTCTCTTGAATTTGTTAGTTTTTGTTCTGCTGTCACAGCTTCGATCATTTTCCTTTTTTTCGTTTCCGTCATTTCATATCTTGCTGGATGACAGTTTTCTTTACAATGCTGTGCTCTGCTGCTGAACTTTTATTTTGTGCTCTACGTATTCAGGTTATAAATTGCGGGATCCTGCTTTTCAATTTTCTTTCAGTTTCTCTGATGCAGGAATCGCCACAAGCACAGCTAAGGCAATAGAATACCCCGGGGATCACCTGTTCTAGTAGGATTCGTTTTTTATACAAATCATACCATAGTTTACGCTGCGAAAGACGAGTTATCCTAATGCTGTATTTGCTCATAAGCTGTTGTATGCTTTCACGCACATTCTTTTGGTAGGAAATCACTAGTAGTAGTTGTCTGAAGTGTAATCGGTCGGTTTGGTTATCATTGATTCCGTTCATTTTCCGATTTATCTTTCAGAACTGCTCAAAGTTCAAAGATTCTGGATAGCTGTTTCTATTAACTCATTATTTAATTTATTATACTGCTCTTGTAAAGCAATGGGTTTCGAGCATATCCGCACATTTTTTTAGACAACTTATGTTACCTGTAACTTTCAAAAATGCCGGTGGGTGGGATCTCTAGTTAACATATCCTACGATGTGGGAGTTTTTTTATAACGTCGTTCTTACGGCAGCCCCGTCATTGCCAACTAGGACGCTTGAAAGGGAAGCCTTCCGTTTTCTTCGGCTGAATCTCTTCTTGGATATTGTTAAGGTGTTCCTGGAAGTGTAAAGTTATCCACGAAATTTAAATTCAAATTAGTAGCTTCAATTTATACTTTAAACTTCTTCGGAAGACGGTTCATATACTTAAAAGCATATAATCAAATGGTTGCTAACTGCTCCAACTAATTCTGGTCAAAATTCCTATGTAGTTAACTAAAACAAGGCAGGGTACAATGAATGTATATTAAACGACACTACTAGAACCTGTCATTAAAGTTATCCGTAAATTGAATATTTTTTCGTTCGGTTGAAAACTGAAAGTGTGAAAACTGTTTTGTCATGCACGACGCAAGTAAACAAGTTGGT